TTTTATAAATAAAAAAATAAAAAAAAAAGACCAAATCACACCTTCCGAAAACGAAAACAAAAACAACAACAACAACAACAACAAAAAAAAAAAAGCGAGAGAGAGAGAGACCAAATCACAGCCACAAGCTAACTTTATGTGAGTTCATTGGTGAAAGTAAAAGTCCGTACGTCAACAAGAAATTTCTGCACTGGATTGAAAGACCAGATCACAGCCACAAACGAAAGTAAAGTCAAGTCAAGTCCATATAAAAATGCAGTAAGGTACCAAGAAGAAGGCGATCTCACTTGGCGGCTGATCTGATCTGTTCACCAGCGAAATTGGTACCAAGAACGTTCGAGCTCTATTGAAGGTTACGAGGATCTGAATTAGACGAGAAAATTGAAGTAAACACGGAATTGTTCTTCGGCTTCTTCATTTTCTAGGTCACGTTAGTTGTTAAAGAAGTTGAAGTGTAAACCTAGAGAGAGGGAGAGATGGGGGAGAGAAAGCAGACCTAGAATAAGAAATCGCCTCCGGAATCGCTTTGCTGAGAGCGCAGAACACAAACCCTATCTTATTCCAACTTTCTCTTTATACCTGTGCTAGGTTGGGTCATTTTGTTCCTTCCGCTACAGTGTTTTTTGTAACCCAAAAAAAGTGGGAACAAACAAGAACACCAAAATGGTGTTTCAACTTTGGGCCCAAAAAGTGAAAGTGTTCTACTACTGTTGAAAACAAAACAAGCCGGCCCAAACATGTTTTGTTCTCAAAATGAGCTACTGTAGCGGGCCTGGAGCATTACAAAACACATGGGAACACTTCCCAAACAGGCCCTTAGTGGTGAATTTAAGATGAAGGTTCTTGGTGCTGCAAAGAGGATATTGGGTATGGAAAATTCACAGGGACAGGTGAGCAGGCAGATTGTATTTGTCACAAAAGAAATACATTGAGAAGGTGCTAGAACGCTTCGGTATGCAAGTATCAAAGCCTGTGAATACTCCATTGGCTGCCCACTTTAGACTTCCAGCACGATTGCCACCGCACACCGAGGAGGAGGTGGAGCACGTCTCGTGTTCCTTATGCTAGTGCAGTTGATAGACTTATGTAGGCTATAGTGTGCACTAGGCCAGACATTTCACATGCAGTTAGTGTAGTGATCATATACATGGATAGACCTGGGAAGGTCCATTAGCAGGCTGTGAAGTGGATATTGCAATACTTGCGAGGCACTGCAGATGTTGGGTTAGTCTATGAAATAGGCAACGACAAGTGTGGGAGTGTTGCTGGATATGTTGATTCGGATTATGCTAGAGATCTTGATAGGAGGAGATCCTTGACAAGGTATGTCTTCACTCTTTTGTGGGAGTGTGATCAGTTGGAAGGCGACTTTGCAACCCGTAGTTGCATTGTCTACTACTGAGCCTGAGTACGTGGCAGCTACAGTGGCAATCAAGGAAGCTATATGGTTGAGAGGCTTGGTTGGTGATTCAGGATGATTTGACTATGTTTTGTGACAACCTGAGTGCCATACATCTGATTAAATTTTAGATGTCTCATGAGAGGACCAAGCACATTGATGACAGGTATCACTTCATTAGAGATGTGGTTGCACAGGGTGCTATTGCAGTGAGGAAGATTGGGACAACAGAGAATTCGGCAAATATGATGACTAAGGTCATTCCTACACTGTTTGGAGGACTTGTTTGGTGCTTGCAATTGTTGAGGCCCTTAGGGGCATATGGAGACGGCGAAAGGAGTAGCTGGAGATTGTGGAGTTTGGCGTAATTCGAGCCAAGGTGGAGATTTGTGATGTTGTGGCCCAAATTTGGTGTCGGGTTGGATAAGCATTGTGTGGGCCCAAGCCCACCAAAGCTCTGGGGGTTCGGAGGCTTGCCCCAAGGAAAAAATTTTGACTCGTTTTTGCTTATGGGTCATGGACCCTAATTAGTCTCTTGTAGCCCAATATATAAGGGCGTTTAGGGTTTGGAGTGGTGGAAAGGGGACTCTGAAATTCGTACAAAAATAGAGTGAGGGGCTAAAAACTTGTAATCTTTGGTTTTACACATAGTGAAGACTTTCGCCGGATCTCCACTGTGGACGTAGACTGTTGCCAAACCACGTATAAATCCGAGTTCTTTATGTGATGTGTTTACTTTTCTGTCGTGATTCTTGGTTTTATCTTGGGTTTGCTACGTTTGTCGTAATAATAAGGTACCTAGAAACCTAATATAGAGAGTTTTAGAGAAGAAAAGAGTTACAAAGGGATACATTCACACAATAAAGGACATATATGATGGATATGTGACTATAGTTAGAACCCATGTCGGGGAAACAAGTGAATTCCCAATTATTGTAGGCTTTAAACCAAGGGTCAACATTAAGTCCATTCCCTTTTGCCTTAATTATGGATAAGCTGACAAGACACATCCAAGATGAGATTCTGTGGTGTATGTTATTTGCCGATGATATTGTTTTAGTTGATGAGACTAGAGGAGTTAATGCCGAATTGGAGGTTTGAAGAGAAACTTTAGAACTAAAAAGGTTTAAGATGATTCGAAATAAAACTAAAAATATGGAGTGTAACTTTAGTAAATCTAGAAACATAAATGAGGATGTAGGGAGGATTGAGGAACAAGAGATATAAAAACTGAAAGTTTTCAATAAATAGATTAATTATTAATAATGAGGGAGAAATTGGAGATGTCGTTAATCATAGAATCAAGGCAAGATGGGTTAAATGGACGAGTGCATCTAGTATATTGCGTGATAAGTGTATCCCTTTACAATTGAAAAAGGAGTTATATAGAACAGCTATTGGACCGGCCATACTTTATGGTACCAAATGTTAAGCAGTTAGGAAACAACATTTACATAAACTGAGTGAGGCAGAAATGCAAATGTTGAGATAGATATGCGATAAGACTAGAAAGGATAGAATTAGAAATGATCACATTTGGGAGATGGTTGGAGTAGCACCAATTAGAGATAAAATAAGAGAAAATAGGTTAAGATTGTTTGGTAGGTTGGGGCTTCGTAGATTGGTGCCTTTCAATAAAGCTCTCCTTGGAAAATGGTTGTGGAGGTTTGGAGTGGAAAGGCATCGGCTTTGGAGGAGGGTTGTTGCTAGTAGATTTGGGGATAGCAGAGGAGGGTGGTGCTCTCTTGAGGTGCGTGGTCCGAGGGGTGTGGGGGTCTGGAAGTGCATTCGGAAGGGTTAGTTTGATTTCTCCTTGAATGTCCGTTTTAGATTCAGGGATGGCGGGAGGATCAGTTTCTGGGAGGATGTTTGGTGTGAAGATATTTCTCTTGCTCTCGCTTTTCCACGGCTGTTTAGGATTGCTTCGAATAGGCAGGCCATGGTAGTTGACTGTTATCATCTTGATAGCGGGAGACTGGTGTGGGATGTTCGATTCAGGCGTCTCTTTCAGGATTGGGAGGTTGAGGATGCCATTCGTTTGTTGGAGTTGTTGTATCGGCAGGGAGTCACGGTTGGTGAGTCTGATGGTTGGATTTGGGCTCCCAGTGCTCAGGGTCGTTTTGATGTGCGGTCCTTTTTCAGGTGTCTTTCTGTGGAGCCTGGAAGGCCCTTCCCGTGGAACTAGGGCTGCAACTCAGGCAGGTTTGAAGTATAACTTGAGCCCAACCCACCATACAAAATGCTAAACCCAAGCAATATAAGAAGAAGTTTAAAGACTTTTTATAGATTTTTAATAAATTACAAACAAATTTTTAGAAAATTAAATCCTCTAAATGTTAACATACAATAAGTTAATATTTAATAAAAGAATTGAAAAGAGAAAAAGTAATCATAGTTTAAATATTACTATATATAATGTATTTAAAAGTAAAAATATATATGAAAATAATATTATAATTCGGGTTCGGATTGGCTCGGGTTGCTAGCACTTCAACCTAAGCCCAACCCTAATTAAATTCGGGTTGAGATTTTTCAACCCAAGCCCAACCCTAATTGTAAAAATAATTGTCCAAGCCTGTGAAAAATCGGGCTGGGCTCGGGTTAGTTCGGGTTACCCAACCCAAGTTGCACCCCTACGTGGAAGTTTGTTTGGCGTTGTAACGCTCCTCTCAAAGTGGCCTTCTTTTCTTGGACTTCTGTGTTGGGCAAAATTTTAACTCAGGATAATTTGAAAAGGAAAAATCAGGTGGTGGTCAATCGGTGCTATATGTGTCTTAGGGACGAGGAGACACTGGACCATCTTCTTTTGCATTGCCCCATAGCCAAGGATTGTTGGGATTTGATGCTTGGCTTGTTTGGGTTCCAATGGGTCATGCCTCACTCCGCCAGAGAGTTGATCGAGGCTTGGAGAGGGTGTTTTGTGAGGGGGCCATGTTCGTGATGCTTGGAGGGCTACTCCTCTTTGTGTGTGGTAGTGTATTTGGCTTGAGAGGAATAGGAGATATTTTGAGGGGAAGGAGAGGCCTATTTCTTTTCTTAAATTCTCTATTGTTTCCACTCTTTTTTGTTGGGTCTCAGGTAGAGATTATAGATCTTTAGATGAAATAGTTGATTTTTTGGCCTCTTTAAAAGTGTAATGGCTGTTTTGGTCTGTTTTTGTTCCCTTGGGATGCGCTCCCCTTTTGAGCGCTTTATAAAATTTCTTACTTATCAAAAAAAAAAAGATTGTTTAGACATATGCAAAGAATACCTTTAAGTGTGCCGATTAGGAAAAGTGACATAGTCCACATTGAGGATATTACTAGGGGAAAAGGAAGACCAAAGTTAACGTGGATAAAGTCAATAAAGAAAAATCACATAGCATGTGGATTGACCGGGGCTATGGCCTTAACTACAGCGAAATGGAAACATGGGAATCATGTAGTTGACCCCAAGTAATTGGGAAAATGCTTGGTTGTTAATGTAGCCCATCCAAACATGGAATTCATGTAGCCGATCCAATCAAATTATTTGTTATGTGAGTGAAAACACAATCATGAAGGAAACAAAATGACACATAATATAAACAATGTATTAGAAAGACTCAGACCATGTCACTTACCTTGAAGGGCAGAACTGAACATCCTCCACAGTATCCTCATGGCCTTGGTAGATACCTCGTGGTCCAATTGTAGGGCTGTCTGCAAGTTTATCATTACCCCCGCCAGTCTTGGAGGTGGGTTTAATGTTGGCACCGCCGGATCCTGGAGATTTTGTGGACCCTGCATCTGTTGCCAAGGTGGAGATGTGATCTTGAATACTCCATAAAACCACTGATTTGTCCTTTCCTGCCATGAAAACTCCCTGATTAGAAAAATATCAAAAGGCAAAATTCAACAATAATGAATAATCCTATACAAGGCGAAAGAGAATTGGTCTGATTAGACAGAAAAAATAATGATAGGGTGAACTTATTTAAGTATATACATAAACTGTGTCATAACATTTCAGGCATCAGCATAACACTTCTCGTAAATAAAATAATTTAGTAAAACCATACAAAATCAGTTGCAGTTCACATTCCCAAATATACAAAACTGAAACTAATTCAAGTAACCAGAAATTGTATGAAGAGTTTTAAGAATCAAACAATACCACTTGGCAGAAAAAAATAAGAAAATGCCAGTAAGACCCAGGTGTTTGTTTATCAATCTAGAAACCCTCAACAAGTCTGAAACAACAAAACTATCAGGTGAAATCTGAACATGAAATCCAGTGTCATTAAGTGCCCAATGAGTATGGCTATATCGTGGATAGTTATATCAGACATAAAACAAATAAAATAGTTCTATGTTGTAGAACCACGGATTGTGGATGCAAAACCATGGTTCAAAACTTCTATCATGAGCTACTTATCATAAAAATAAATAAATAAATAAATAAAATCCTTCAATTTTGAGCCAAAATATCCAGCAAACAGCATTTAACACAAATATTTGACAGAGAGAAGACGACAACAATGATGATGCAAAGAAAATGGCTTAAAACTAATATGTGCAAACAAAAAAACGGAGGCCAAAGGCGAAAGGCCATGAGAGATACCGTCTATGATCCATGGATTTCCGATCAGAAAATCGTATCCAAGCTTGTGGAAAAGGAAAAGAAAATGTTAAAAAGATGAAGTCAATGAGTGTTCACCAAATTGTAATGTTATAATACATAGTAGAAATATATAAAAAGAAGAGAAAAGAGAGAATTGCGTAAAGGCTTGAATGAGATGAATTACCCATTCACAGCTCTAGTATTTATAGATAAAATGAGCACATGCTCATATTATAAGAAAGGAAACTAAATCAAATCATTGCATATTTTATGCCTAGACATATGCGTAAATAAAGTCAAATACATGATTTGTGACTATCATATCTCACAGATAATATGGTAAATCACATCCCATGATTTGGGCCTATCATATCTCGGCTATTATGGTAAGTTATACCATAAATCATGGTATCATAAATGCTAACACTCCCCCTCAAGTTGGTGTGTGGATATCCAAAACGCCCAACTTGGACAATGCATTCTCAAACACAATCTTGCTGACGCCCTTTGTAAGAATATCTGCAAGCTGCTGAGAGCTTGTGACAAATGGAGTGCAAATTTGACCAGAGATGATCTTCTCTCGAATGAAGTGACAGTCCACCTCTATATGCTTAGTCCTGTCATGCTGAACGGGATTTGCTGCTATGCTAATGGCAGACTTGTTGTCGCAGTAGAGTAAGAATGGAAGCGACACTGGAAGGCACAAGTCTGTCATCAAGGTTTTCAGCCAAAGCAACTCACCTACCCCAAGAGCCATAGCCCTATACTCTGCCTCTGCACTAGATCGAGAAACAACATCCTACTTCTTACTGCGCCAAGTAACCAAGTTACCACCAATAGTGGTACAATAACCTGAAGTAGACCTCCTATCTGAAATTGATCCTGCATAATCAGCATCTGTCCAAGCCTCAACACGTAAGTGACCATGATTAGCAAACAAAATACCACGGCCTGGACACCCTTTTAAGTAGCGAAGAATCCGAATAGCTGCATCAAGGTGTGGGGCACGAGGAGAGTGCATGAATTGACTCACGACACTCACGGCATAAGCAATGTCAGGTCGAGTCATGGATAAATAGATGAGCTTCCCCACAAGTCGTTGATACTGACCAATATCTGACAACAACTCCCCCTCAGAATCAGCCAACCAATGATTCTGCTCAATCGGAATATCAGCAGGACGAGCGCCAAGCTGACCAGAAGCAGAAAGCAAGTCAAGAACATACTTGCGTTGAGAGATGAAAATGCCAGCCTTGGAACGAGCCACCTCAATGCCCAAGAAGTATCGTAGGGGACCAAGATCCTTAATCTCAAACTGACGGCCAAGATAGCTCTTAACCTCATTAATTCCGGTAGTATCATCGCCGGTAAGAATAATATCATCGACATACACAATGAGAGCAACTGTCTTACCGCCTGAATGACGTAAAAACACTTTGATGGAAACCAAACTTGAGCATAGCAGTGCCAAAGTGATCAGACCAAGCTCGAGGAGACTACTTGAGGCCATATAAAGAACGACAAAGACGACTTACCATACCAGAATGAGCAAGAGAACGAAAGCCCGGAGGAGGAACCATGTAAACCTCCTCCTGCAAATCACCATTAAGAAAGGCATTCTTGACATCTAACTGAAATAGAGGCCAAGATCGAATTGCAGCAACGGAAAATAATACACGGATGGTATTCATCTTGGCAACAGGGGCAAAAGTCTCTTGATAATCTATGCCATAAGTCTGAGCATAACCCTTGGCAACCAATCGGGCTTTGTAACGAGCAACTGACCCATCTGGATTATGCTTGACTGTAAACACCCAACGACAACCCACAGCCTTTCGTCCAATAGGAAACGGAACCATGTCCCAAGTCTGAAATTTCTCAAGTGCTTGTAGTTCTTCTATCATAGCATCACACCATTGAGGTTGTGCTAGCGCATCTGCAACATTGGAAGGAACAAGAACCGAGGCAACAGAAACAAGAAAACTCCGATAGGAGGGTGAGAGAACATAATCAGAAACAAAATTAGAAATAGGGTAAGTACAAGAACGTTTATCCTTTCGAAGAGCAATGGGGCAATCATCAAGCGAAACAATAGCTTAAGAAGGTGGAGCTGGTGCAGAAGGAACAGGGCAGTCGATCGTGGGAGTAGAAGCTTGTACCTGTTGTCTCCGATTATAAACCTGTGAAAAAGGAACAATTCCCCCTACTGGAGGGGTATCACAAGGAGGAATTATAGAAGAAGAAACAGGTAATGGTAAAGGAGTTGAAGACGGAAGAAGGTGATCATCCATTATATTCAATGGGAACTATGCTCAAAAAAAGAAACATCCATGGATATAAACCGCCGACGACTGGGAGGATGGTAACACCTATAACCTTTTTGAGAGTGAGTATAACCCAAAAACACACACTTCAAAGCCTTGGGGTCAAGCTTTGTACGAGTTTGCCCCAACTGCTGAACAAAGCACACACACCCCGAAGACTCGTGGAGGAATCAAAAATAGATATGAATTGGGATGTAAGATTGAGAGTGGGGCTGCAAAGTTAAGAATCCTAGAAGGAGTCCTATTAATGATGTAAACAACGGTAAGAACTGCATCTCCCCAAAATGACTGGGGAACATTCATGCCAATGCAGATTGCTCTGGCTAAGTCAAGGATGTGGCGATTCTTTCTCTCAGAACGACCATTCTGTTGAGGAGTTTTAACATTAGCCAGCTAATGTGCAATCCCAAATTTTGTACATAACCGTTGTACCTCCCCATAAGTGTACTCTGTACCCTGGTCAGATTGGAATTTTTTAATGGTACGACCAATTTGAGTTTGAACCATTGTCATAAAATTTTTTAAAATGGTGTATATCTCATTTTTGGTTTTCATAAGATAAACCCAAGTAACACGACTATGATCATCAATGAACAACACGAAATATCGAAATCCAAGACTAGAAGTAATTGGGCAAGGACCCCACACATCTGAATGAACAAGATCAAAAGGTGTTAAAGCAGATTTATTAGTACTAGCAGGATAATTGGAACGAACATGTTTAGCCATATGACATGTTTCACAGGATAAATCTAACACTGCCACGTTACAAAATAAGGAAGGAAATAAATGTTTCAAATAACCAAAAGAAATATGTCCTAAACGCATGTGCCAACGCAAAAGCTGGGCTTTATTAGATGAAACAATATTAGAAAATGAAGTTGAATGTGCTTGCGGTGACAAAGGAACATCCAACAGGTATAAACCGTCCACTTCATGCCCACTGCCAATCGTCCGTTTCAACACCAGATCCTGAAAAATACAATAAGAGGGAAAGAACGTTACACTACAATTTAATTGTTTGGTAACGCTACTAACAGAAATAAGATTTGTAGTCAACTTTGGAACATGAAGTGTATTTGACAAAGTTAATGAAGGAATAACTAATATGTGACCCTTCCCAACAATGGAAGATGGAGAGCCATCCGCAAGGCGGACCTTGCGTTGGCCAGAGCAAATACTATAAGATTAGAAGAGTGAGGACATACCAATCATATTGTCTAAAGCACCAGAATCAATGATCCATGGTGTTAAAGATGTAGATACGCTATGTGCAGACGCAATAGTACCTGAGTAGGCATAAGTGGAGGTTGGCTGAGATGATGCCTCCATTTGGTTGAAGAATTGCTTGAACTTGTCCAAATCAGCTTGAGTCAAGGTAACTGTGGCAGAAGATGTAGAGGCAGGGTTGTCAAGAGTTGACAACGAGACTGGTTGTGTAACAGAATGTGCAGAGGATCGAAGCTGTTGTTTCTGTTGCGGTGGACGTCCATGTAAAACATAACAACGAGATTTGATGTGACCAATTTTTCCGCAATGATCACACCGTCCACGTTGTCGTCCCAGAGGAGGACCGGTGGTAGTGCTCTGAACTGACTGGGATGGTGAAGTTCCTGAAAGGTTGGGAATCCGAACTGCCATAGCAGAACGATCAACAGAAGCAACACCTAATGGATGAGTCCGGCGGCTCTTATCTGACAACACATAGGAATATGCATCCTCAAGAGTAGGGAATGAAGATAAGCCCAATAAATGAACACGAGCATACTCAAACTCGTCGTTCAACCCGGCAAGAAACTGAAACACTCGATTCTTCTCCACAATTCTTGCATATAAAACTGCATCATCTGGATCCTTCCAAGAGTGGAAGGAATCATAATATGACATCTCCTCCCAAATAGCACGAAGCTTAGCGATGTAACCTGAAACTGTCAAGTCACCCTGAGAAATCCTGGTGATATCTCGCCCCAGCTGGAAAATTCGTGCATTATTCTGCCTCTGAGAATAAGTGTGTTGAACTGAATCCCAAATCTGCTTAGCAGTCTTCATAAACATATAGCCAACAGCTATGTTTAGTTGCATCGAATTGACTAGCCAAGACATAACCATAGCGTTATCTGCAAACCACTGTGGATATGCCTTCTCTGACTCAGCTGGCTCTTTCTCAGAACCAGTAATATAGCCAATCTTGCCTTTGCCACCAATGAACATCTTGGCAGACTGTGCCCAAATCAAATAATTGGAACCATCCAACTTTACTGTGGTGATTTAAAGTTGGTGGGAAAAATGGCACCACCACCCACAGAACGTGAGCCAAGAGAATTAACAATCAAAGACCCTGAATCTGCCATAATCTGTCACACGATAATAAAAAGAACTCCAAAAACACCACAAATTCTGTTAATAAATCAAAGGGTCTCCTCAGACCATAAACAATGTCTCCTCAGACCATTCCCGAAAAATCCAAATACATACCTTTTTCAAGGAGCGCTGCCCGCTTACATATAGCCAGACAGCCTCCTTCTTAATATTCGGAACCTCTTTGTAAACTAATTTTTTTTTTACCCAAGCCCTTCTAGGTGTTGGAAACCAACTATCCCAATTTACCCAATCCTAAAAGAGTGAAAAAGAAATTGTAAAACTTAAAAATACCTGTTTTTGATCACAAAACAGCAACACAGAAAAACATGTGTAGGCAATGTCACACGATGTCACAAATAGCCCAAGGTAGCTGTCGCACAAGTAGCAAGGCTGCTGAAAGGTGTGGAAAGGTGTTGGCTCTGATACCAAGTAGAAATATATAAAAAGAAGAGAAAAGAGAGAATTGCGTAAAGGCTTGAATGAGATGAATTACCCATTCACGGCTCTAGTATTTATAGATAAAATGAGCACATGCTCATATTACAAGAAAGGAAACTAAATCAAATTATTACATATTCTATGCCTAGACATATGCGTAAATAAAGTCAAATACATGATTTGTGGCTATCATATCTCACAGATAATATGATAAATCACATCCCATGATTTGGGCCTATCATATCTCGGCTATTATGGTAAGTTATACCATAAATCGTGGTATCATAAATGCTAACAGACATCAATCTTGATAAATGATTATTGACGCTCTAGGTTTAGGCCGCAAAAAAAAATAATGGAATAATAATTAGAACAAGAGACGACATAAACAGAAATCAAGAACAACAATAATGAAAATCATCAAGAATTATCAACTTTGTTCAAGTTGAAGAAATCAGTAAAATGAAAAAATAAACAATGATCCATGATCCATGATATAAAATACAAGATGGAAAATAGGATTTGTATTCGACCCAAATGAGAAAGCCTTTTCTTAATTTGATTTTGTTGACAATCTTCATATGCATGACATTTTATACACAGGCAGGTTCCTTTCATGCATAACAGCATAAGCCATATGTATTTTCACATATGTAATTGTTCCAATAATTCAGTTTCCATATGCTTTCATGATGCTTTGGGGGTACCTATAGCATTTTTTACAAAATTGTAGCGCTACTAGACTGTTAATGACGAGAACACTAACATATATAAATTTAGCAATATAAAGTGAAGCCTTCCTTCACAAGCCATATGAATTTTCGTATATGTAATTGTTACAATTAATTTCAGTATCCAAATGTTTTGATGATGCTTTGGGGGTATCTATAGCATTTTGTACAAAATTGTAGTGCTGTGACCAAGGCCAAATTGTACTACTGTTAATGATGAGAACAACACCAACATTTATAAACTTAGCAATATGAATTGAAGCCTTCCTTCACCAGAGATGTGAATTAAGTAACGAAGAGGGCTGCTGCTCAATTTGTGTAGTCTGTTATCGTTGTCTGATCAAAAAGGAAAAGAAGAACTATTACCACTTAATCAATTTATTAAACCAGACTTAGTCCCGTGTCAAATAGTATCAGGCCAGTAGACCAATTGCAACCTAGTAAAGCACACAACTATCACTGTTTTTTTTTTTTTTTTTTGATAGGTGTATTAGAAGGCGTTCAAAAGGGGAACGCGTCCCAAGAACTGTACAAAGAAAAAAGAGAAAAAATGAGATCTATGAACCCAACGACCCCAAAAAGTCCATTATCTCAACCAAAGAAATACAATCTCGCCCCATACCCCAACTAAAAAGGGAGCAAAGAATAGTGAACTTCAAAGCCCCAATGGAGGTCCAGAAAGGGGAAGCACCCTCCAGAAATTATGAGCGCGCGCTCCCACCCTTTGACCCCTCCACCATCAATCAGATCCCTTGAGGTCCGGGGCATAACCCATTGGACACCAAAGAGACCCAACAAAAGGCTCCAACAGCCGTGAGCTACGGGACAGTGCAAGAGAAGATGATCCACACTGTTTTGACTTAATTACCTTCAAAAATCCACATTTCGTTTTTTTACCCTTGATTCCTGTATGTTAAAAATACCATTAACCAATATGTACACATTTTCCTGAGGACTGCAAACAAGACCCTGATTTCAGAATCTATTACTGAAGCTCCTCAGTCCATAAAATATTAGAATTTCATTCAGTCATACACAGCACCAAAATTACTGTGTGCATGTTTCCCATGCGAAGGGCAGGTGGTGATAACAAATTTATAATGACATGACTTAATTGAGAAGAAATTCACCCATGTTTAATTAAGCTTTGAGGTGCTGCGGGAAAATAGGGTCAAGTCTCATAATTGCACCATTCCATACAATTTCTGGTCAGTGTAGCTTCATCATATGCGGGTCTTCACTCTTCACAAAAACTAACTATATATATAATAAAGCTCAATTTAAAACCACTGAAGCATGATTACAATGAATGTAGAATCAATGAATGTAAGATGGTATTCAGGGTTCTTTTATAATTAACATGTTATTAAGCATAATCAAACCATAAGCAACAAAAAGAGGTTGACAAAATGATACTCCATTTATACAACCTTGGTAATTTGGGTTCTAGTACTCTTAAATTCTCACCTAATTTATAGTTTTCCTTTGAAATGTTATAAGATTTGGTTGTGATCTGTGAGCTTTTATGAAATTACATCTCCAGTATCACAGTTGCAAGTCATCCATCCAAACGCAAAAGCCTATGATTTATTGGAGAATATCACTCTAAGAATTACTAGCTAAAGCTTAACTGTTTGCAGAGTTTGTTGGTTAAGTTGGTTGAGGTTATAGGAAGCCCTCTCGTCCACAAAAAAAAAAAAAGAACGAAAGAAAAGATCGCAACTAACAATTTTCAGTAAATCCATTAGCTTTAGCACGTGTGTAGATGTAATCATCACATCACTAATTGCATACCTAAACACAATAAGAATTTAGAAGTCAATCAATATTCTTCCGTGCTTCATGCCAACAGTAGAAAAAAGTATTATGTTTATCCAATATCCTATCATTCATATAGTTAAATGAAAATTCATAAAAGTGAGTCCGAAATCCAAACATTACATGGTAAGAGAATATTTCTACTTCCATCAGGAGAGAGAAAGCAAGCACATTGGTAAAGTATTTGTGCAACTCTGGCTTCAACAATACTTTGTGATAGTATATCTAATATAATACGACTGTGTGGCTTCACCCAATGTTGCCTTTACATATTTTAAACATAAGTATAAAGTGAAATGAAGTATTGCAGAACAACAAATAGTATGAAAAAAGCCCATTAAAGGAAGAACAATAGTTAAGTATACCTCCAGAGAGCACAAAAGGCTCAACCGGGCACATTGCAAGAGCAAATTCTGCATTATCTTGATGACCAGTCAACACCTGCAAGATGTGCATAAAGTTATCAGCCACCTCAGCTATAGAAAAGTTAATTAATAACAGAACCATGAATCAATATGTATTAATCTATTGTATTCCCATTGTAACATCTTAAATTTTGAAAGGTCAGAGAAAAGGTTTCAACGTCGAAGCAAATTTAGAATAAACATGAATATTTTTAAATGGAAATTTACTGGTGCATTCTATCACAAGGATGCCAAAAAAAAAAAAAAAATGAGATGATAAAATAAAAAATAACAATTGAACGTTCAAAACAATTATAAATGTGAAAATAATGATAACTTGTTCTTTGCACAAGACACACCAAGTCTGGACGAGAATCTGAAGCTCCCAAGACAGCATGACGATTAGGTTGAGTTTCAACATCCCAAATGAGGACCTGATTTGAAAGTTTGAAGAATTCAAATGATAATCAACTTCAAAGTCTTTGTAAATTTCACAGTAAAAAGAAAAAAGCTTCATCCCAAAAAATTAAAAAAAATACAAATTTGATTTTTAAAAATTTAAGAAAAAATAAATCTAGATGAATGCATACGTCAGGACTGTCGGTGTGTGTGGCCACTATCTTGGTGTTTTGCGGAAGTTCCCTGATTCGGTTCACCTGCATTCATGTTCATCAGTTGCCAATAAAAATTTCAATTCCTTTCTTTAGAGTGAAAGTTCAGAACTTCAAAGATCATCCATGTTGAATGGATGAGCCTGTTCCAAAGAAACATTTTCCACAAAAGTAATTACTCCCAAGGCACCTGATGTAGGAAATTTTCACAGGACCAGAAAATACACCGTAAAGAAAATCATATATTTTCTAGGACCACTCCCACTCAGAATCTGTGCATGCTTATAGCATTATTATAAAATTATATAACCAAACAGGAGCAAAATAATAGACCTGGACGGTGAGAACCATAAAAATCAGTAACCGTGATAGTTTCTTTTGGTATAAATGTTTTGGCAATTTGATAATTTTTTAATTTTGCAATATAGATTTTAAATGAAGAGTAAATTTGCCAAGTGGAAGCAAGGGGATTTCTATAGAGAAAAATACTGTTTACCACAAACCTGTTCTTTACAGTTTTATTGTTACCACTATTAATTTGAAATCAAAGAGACAATTGGTTGAAAATCCCCAAGTTCTGGCTTAATGACCAAATAGGTGCCAAATTTTGGAACGGGCAACTCATTGGGCAACGACCTCAACAACAAAAGGAAGGAATACATTGAGTGAAAGATACCTCTCCAGGATGTATAATGGTCTTAAACTTCTTTACGAAGGGAGAACGTGCCTCTTCATTGAACTGAAAGATCAACCAACCAACCAAAGTTTACAGTAAATACAATGAAAAGGAGATTAGTCCTGTGATATTCAAGTATGGAGTAAAAATTTAAGGGGGGACAAAAAATTGTTAGACTACAATATCACCTGTGATATGTGCTCTGCAGCAGCAACCCTGGGTTTAACAACTTCACAGTTTGCAACGACAAGCGTATTGGGAACACTACCATCAGTCTAGGGGAATGGTAAGAGAAATAGAAAAATATGGCAATTAATATTTAACTTGTACTGGAACAAAAAAGTGCATAACAAGTAAGAAATAAAGTGTATAACAAATTCAGGAAAAAAAAAAAAAAAAAAAAAAAAAAAAAAAAAAAATTGTGTATAACAAGCAACAAATCAACATTGAGAATCAATAGCCGATATGAACATGCAAAAACAAAATTAACCCATTCAGGAAACTAGAACAGTCAGAAGTGTAGTAAAACCAAATAATCTTTAGAGTTGGACTTACACCGTTAAAACAACGTTGGAGTGCATTGTCTAGCTAACTTTCCATTATTACCCCCATAACTCCTAATAAAAATTTAATGCAGAAAATATATTAAAATGATAGCCAACAATGATTGTTGGTAGCGATAATTCCAACTTCACACCATAGAATTCGATTCGTCCAAATCAATTCCCAACATTGGTTGTATTTAGTTATAAAACAATTTAAAATCCAAACCTGTAAAAAAATAATAAAGCATGTTTGGAATTCCCATTAAAATGGAATTACTCCATTTATTCTCGTATATAATTTTTAATAAATACCCGGACATAATAGAAAAAGGCAGCCATTTTCACAACTGGTGGTTAAACCTGAAAAATAACTTTTCATGACATTTTAAATCACATTCTACACTAGTTCAATGCCACCATTCATGCTGCTGATGTTACCTTCCAAAGCTATGTAAAACATTTCAACAGCAAGTCAATACACACCATTGAGAATCAAGTCAAAAGCATTCAATGTTTTTCCATTCAAACTCTACGTGGCCCTTTCAGCTTTTCCCCCCTTAAAAATTATATCCAAATTCTAATAATATGATTCATATATGGTCTAAGTGATAAAAGCAAAGCATTAAGCTGAAGAAGATAATCTTGCCTGTTCCGATAGGTAGAGACGCTGACGGTTCTTGTAAGTTGCTTGCTCGAGCTGAGGACCCCATCTATCATGACAAAAAAAAGGTCAAAAAAGAAGAAAAGGGCAGGTATATGGTAATTTATTCAATACTACAACTACCAACAAATCGCTCCAAAACAAAGTCAGTAGATTTAAACCACCCCAGTGAATCCATTTTTATCTAGCAATGATTAAGATTAAAGAAAATAATAAGTTAACTTTTGCATTAAAACAATTGGGCGCAAAAATGTCCGAAAATAGAAACATGTAGCACTGCATTATAACGTATGGGAGTGTATACAAAGAGAGAGGGAGGAGAAGAGAGAGAACAAAAATGGCTGCTTACATTCTCAAAACAACGCAAATACTAATAATCAGTCCAAACAATGAAAAACACACAAATAAAGTAGAAATAGAGAAGCTCATAACAGCAGGGCTCCTCGTGAATTGCTCCCTGGAGCTTCTCACTGTGGTCCGTTTGATTGCTGAGAAATTTAAACTTAGGGCAAACAAAAGAGTCCAAAATTTCTCAACCTTACATTTCTCATTGTTGTACAAGAGGGGGAAAAAACAAAAGATCCCCACACTCGGCTTTCATCTAAGATACATGATATTCACAACATTCCTTCCCTTCTCTGTTGTTTTCACACATTTTCTCAGCAACCAAACGAGGGTTTTAAAATGTACACTAAGAATTATATCAGTTGAACCAATAAGTAATGAGAGCAAAAAAAAAAACCCTAGAGAACTGAAGATGGGCAAATGCAGTGAGAAATGGAACCCTGGAGAAAGAAAGAGATAGAGACAATGAGAGAGAGGACGTACCGGCAAGAGAGAGATGGCCAGACGAGATTGTGGTTGGCGAGCCAATCGTAGAGGACTGGGATGAGAGACTTCCACTGAGAATACCTCTCGTCCACCGATGGCGGTTCTCCTTTCCCTCCTCTCTCCTTCATCTCTCTCGCTCTCTCACTACTCTCTCTCTCTCACTACTCTCTCTTTCCCGCCTCTTGTATTGTACTATTTGCTCTGATTCTTCTGCTCTGTGTACAGAATATGACTGGAACGATTTTTGACTCGGCGGACTCACGGGTCACTAACTCATACTACACCATTTCTTTGATTTTATCCCTATTTTTGTTTAAACAATAATTTTGAAATTTTGTTTCACACTTTACCCTTGGTATACAAGTACATGTGTCAAGTATCAACTAGTGATTTGTCGGAATCACAATCACCTGGTCTCGACCATTTAAATTTCTCCTGCGTAAAATTTAGAATATGTAGTCACGTATTACAATATAATCATTCCTTTATATACGCATATATATAATAATTATATGAATTCAAGAGAAAAAAATTTATTTCAATATACCCTTATATTTAATAAAAAGATAAATTACACCCTTTGAAGTTTTGCCTTGCAAGGACAAAGAGTGAAATGATCCATCACGTAAAAAAAAAAACAACCTCTAAAGTTTCAATCGGGTACAAATAGATCATTCTGACAAATTTAAACCCTAAGTTGATTAAATTATACTTACTAAACTATTTTATAAAATATAAAAAAATAAATAATTCTATAAAATGACCGAAGATGACACTATTGAAAAACACCCCTCAATAGCAAAAAAAAACACTCTAAATTTTAATTTGGTGCAAATAGATCCCTTGATAAATTTAAACCCTAAGTTGACTAAATTACCCTTCCTAAACAATTTTATAAAGTATATAAAAATAAATAATTTTATAAAATAATCGAAAATGACAATATTGGAGGACATTGGTAATGGACAAGTAAAGATAAAAATATAAAATATAAATAAAAATATAAAAGAAAAATAAAGATAAAAATAAAAAATAAAAAACAAAAATAAAGTACAAATTAAATAAAACAAATCTATTCCAAACTCCGAAAACCAGTGTACACTGATAGTCGGATTTTTTCCTTTTTTTGTTTAACAGTAAATTGTAAACTGAAATATCAAAAAATTCAAATCCTTATTTTACAAATTCTCAAAGTTTTTTTTTTAAAAAAAAAAAAAAAGAAAAGAAAAGAAAAGTTTAGAGATATATATAGGAAAAAAAAAAAGTTACATAACACCCCTATACTATGAGATTAATAGCATATATACCCATTTGGGCATTTTTGACTGAAAAGACAAAATAGATATTACACCACTAATTTATGTCAATTTTTTTATTGAGGGGTATTTTTATACAATGTGAAAAAATTATAGGTATTTTTTGCACAATTTTTTAAATAGGAAGTAAAAGGTATTACGCGGAATATACTCTATGGGTGTTTTCTGCACTTATCTCTCCTAATAGTACATTTGAATCATGAAGATACCAAATTAACAAGGAGCATGAAACTCCTATGTATATAATATATATATATATATATATATATATATATATATATATATCAAACAACAAAAGCTTTACCTGTTATATAATTAAATACAAATAAAATAACTTTGTAAACTTTAATACTTAACTTTTCGCATTAAGAATATGTAATTGAATATTATGCCATTTACAAATTAATAAGTTTCATATTTTTTTTATCCTAAAAATAGAAAGAATAAAAAATAAAATAAAAATAAAAAAGACAATACTTAAGGTCTTCACTAGGAAAGATCTACAACATAGAATCAATAATAAATAGATATGTTATTTTTAATTACCAAATCAAAGTTACTTACTTACCAAATCAGAGATAGTGATTTGATAATTAAAATAAAATATATTAATTTATTATTGATCCACATCAGCAGTCAGTGTTGTAGATCTTCACTAGTGAGGACCTAAGTAAAAATTATTATTACAGAAGCACCCTATTTTTAACAATGTTAATTATATATAATTCCAAAATTTTAACCCTAATTTAAACATATTAGGTAATTTACCCTTATTAAAGAAATTTCCCAAAAATATTAAACATATTAGAGTCCATTAATCGTAATTGAAATTCCCAAAAATTGAACACTAATTTATAAACATTAGGATTAATTACCTTATTTAGAGAAAACCCCAAAAATTTAATACTAGTAATAATTTAAAGAGGATAGGGTTAGTTAACTCTAATTATAGAAAATTCTAAATAAAAATTATCTAGAATTAGTGTTGTGTAAAAAAATAATAATAAATAAAAATTGTACATCAAGAAACAAAATTGGTGATTTTTAAATCTACCATATTTAAACTTAAAGACAATTAACATCATCCAACCAGTGATTCATTTAAAAACATTAAAAGGAAAAACACAAAGGAAAGAAAAAAACGGCAACTTGTATAGCCCAATTTAATTACCGATATGAAAAATTGAAAAATCCCTTCAAATTTTCAATAATACAATTACTGACATGACAAATGAAGAAATCCTTTCAAATTTTCAATAATATGGAATTCAATCACCACGACAAATGAAGAAATCCCTTCAAATTTTCAATAATATGGAATTCAATTGCCACGATTGCCAAACTTATCAACACGGTTGTACCTACAACCCAATCAAGAAACATTAGAACTCAACATTGAAGAGGAAGCATGTGATGTTGGTCATCACTACGAACGCCCGATTCACGTATAACCTTTTTTAAGTATAGGGTTAAATCCCCAATTTGATCCTCCTACTGCACTAACTCTCACTCCTCTTGAAGGCAATTCGCATATAAGATTCAAAATCACGAGGGGAGAGAGTTTGGTATGAGTGATGAAAAGAGAGGACGTTTTAGGGTTTGATGAATAGAAATAAGGAATGTGTTGAGTAAAAAATGTACTAGGAGAGTGAAGTGAGCGTAATCAATATGGGCTTTTTGGTTATTTAGCAACTACCAAAAACAAAAAACAAAAACTCAGCTATGTACAAAATGTGCAATAATCCCCTCCCCCGAGGTCGTTTTCCTAAAACTCTATACATTTTTCAATTTGTCCAAATAAGGACAAATTTCACTTTAATCAAAATGGAATAATGAAATGACTAAAGTATGCTAACCCAAGGCTTCTAACCAAGGGTATATGAGACATTTTGATGATTATAAATCATCAAAGATGTTGAATTTAGTGTTTACTTGATTTATGACAAAAAAAAAAAAAAAAAAAGTAAGGGTCGCATGCACTTTACATTCCTGTGATATCGAGATAGTGCGTATAACCCCCCATTGTTTGTTTACCACTCATATACTTTAAAAATGGTGCAAATTAGTGCATTTTGGGCGTTGACCGCTATTGACCGGTACCGGAGTTACAAAAAGACTAAAATAACCCTCTATTTATGATTTAAAAAAAATTAATAATATACCATAAAATGTGAAAAGACTAAAATAGCCCTCTCAATCTGTAACAAAAGTAAAGCTACAGAGCTATGTGGTTCAATTCTCCTTTCATTCTCTCTCACGATTTTCTTACCATGCCATCTCGTCAGATGTTGTAGTCATCACCACCGTCGATCATCCCCACCACCGTCGATCAGCCCTTACCACCACCACCACCACAACAGCCACCTCATTCCTCCACTCGCTGGCGGCGTTGCCGCTGCCTTCTCCTGCCTCATTCTCCTCACCATCTGCTTCTGCAAAATCTCCCGCAAACGCACCGTCCCCGTTGATTCCAAGCCGCCGCACCGCTTCTCCTACTCTTCCCTCCGCCGCGCCACCAACAATTTCTCCGAATCTCACCGTCTCGGGCAGGGCAGCTTTGGCTCCGTCTACAGCGGAACCCTCACCGACTTGAACCTAGAAGTCGCCGTGAAGGCTATGGATGCCGGTTCTCTCGGGTGAGCGCGAGTTCCAGAACGAGCTCTTATTCGTCGGAAAGAATGAATCGAATTACATCATCTCGCTCATCGGATTCTCCTCTGACCGGAAACGGCGACGTATGTTACTGGAGTATGAGCTCATGAGAAGCGGAAGCTTGCAAGATTACTTGCTTCATCGCAAAAGTTCGAGTTCGCCATTCGCCGTTCGGGATCAGAATAGGGATCAGAAAAGTGAGTCTTTGAATTTGATTATTTTCACTTAGTTTTACAAACCCAATTTTGAGAAATCTGCATATTTTTTAATTTTGAATTGAAATTGTAGAATTGCATAAAGTAAAAATGAAAAGGAGAGAGAGAGATCCAAAGAGATCAGAAAGTATGAACTTGAGAATTGATGGTAGGATTCAAAAAATTCAAGCTGTTTACAACAATAAATTGGATATCCAGAAACAAAATTGTTGTTTTTACATTTAAATTATTTCAACTTTGTTATAAAAAAAAGATCGAATAGGAGTTTTGAGAACAAGAGAAAAATAATGACAAGAAAAAAAAATAGGCACACACACAATCGAGACAAGGATTTATACGTGGTTCGGCTATGCCTACATCTACGGGAAAAAGACAGAACAATATTTTACTATGGAAATAAAGAGATACAAGGCAAAGTGGCTCACACCCAAAACCCAAACTCTCTCACCCACTAATTGATATTGCAAACTCACTCAATTGATTTAGGATGCTTCAACACCATGGAGGGCAATGCTATTTATAGCCAAAATGGGACACTAAAATGAGGCTACTTGGTGACCACTCAAAAGACTTGCTGGACACACATTCTTAGAGGCCAAGAATAAAACTTGATGAACACATATACTTGGAGGTCAAGAAGATGATGTCATGGGTGATGTAAGCCTCAAATTGAGCCACATGTTCAACAAATCTCCACCTTGGCGAAAATTCAAATGAGCCACTGTATCTCTGCAAAACAAACTGTCTTCTCCACAAAACCAATTAATTAAGAATTTAATTTAAGTTTGAGTCATCCTCAAACTTAACCCTCAAGCTCTCATTCTTCAACCCATGCATGTCTTGCGCAGCCACAAGCATACCTCCAGTATTTGTGTCAAGCTCTAAATACTTTCCGAAAGTAATCTAAGAAATTCCAAGTTTGACATCTCCTTCAGCAACCTTCTCCAACCGCCCACAAACCACCGGCTGGTAATAAAAAGTCATCTTCTCACCCTTGTGGAGAACAGGACGTCCTTGACTTTTCCTCGCATCTCTGTTTTAACCAACTACTTGCCTCCCACGCATCTTAATGGTACTCGAATGGACTATCTCATTGCC